ATAAACAACGATATATATTGAGGACAGAGTCGATTCTTTAGTTCTTATCATGGCGTTTATTTTCACCTTTCATTTCCCTGTGAGCGTGTAACGGGCCCTTTCCCCGTTTTTGGTTAACACCGACACTAACGAGAATAGAGGAAATGTGGGAGGTTTAAAAAACTGAGAGATGTCACCGTCATATGTTTACCCCCCCCCCTCTCTTGTTAGCCACATTAGACAACCCCTGTTTCTGCAATAGCGGATAGCACGCTACTACTCCCTAAATGGTCACAACTAGGTGATAGAAAAGAATTATATTAACCAGCCCTGTGTTAGATTAATTGTGAAACTTGTTTGGGAGGCTTGTGCTGTGTTAATTACAGATTGCGTGTCATGTATATCTAGAAAACATGGAATTCAACCAGGAGATTCTCTTTGTCATGGCGGACGATGACAACGTCTGTCTGTACATATGCGTCTACATCTGTACATGCGCATTAATTCAGACTAACAATATATAAAATCTGAACGCGATTACCTATGTACTTACGTTCCTAATTTGTGTGATGATTGGAAAAAGATCAGTCGGATGTGACAGAATATTAAAAAAGGAAACGGAAAGAACGCAAAGTGGATTTTTTTAAGTAACTCTTCGTTTCTTGTCGTTTATCCACGAGTAATTTTTAAATACAGTGGAAAAAAACATATCATTATAGGGTCAAAACTTGCCTCAAATTTAAAAAGATAAAAAAAAAATGGCTCGGTTGATTTACTATTAGGCGGGCCGGATGAAAGACGTAATATCAGCATTTGGTACATATTTTGTCCGCACCTCTTCTTGTCTAGACTGTTTAATGGGCGTGTCGGCTTCAGGGTTGTCAAAAGAAAGTGTTACTGTTGCCTCTGCTCATTTCCCCAGAAGCCACTTCATATCCCAATGTCCTATGATCATGTCAACAAGCTGACCTAGTTTTCAGGTTGGCGTTGTTCACGAATTTTAATAGACATTAAAAAAAGTAAATTTGGATTCCTAAAAAATGGTGTCCTTTTGTTAGTGAGAGGTTCGTGTCGACTGGAATAAATATACTTTCTTAATCTCAAAAAATATTAAGATATCACACACACGGGAGTGCACGTTAGGTACATTTAACCTGTTTCCAAAAATTTGGCACAATGCCACAAGAGTTTGACATCCAGTAAGGATAGAATTGGTTACACGAGTAAAGATCTACCATACTGACTTGCTAATTACTGCTCCTTGGCGAAGTGAAAATCATTAACTTATATCATAGGTATTAACAAAACGCGAATATGTCATTCTAGATATCTGCAGCTTGGGTGATGAGTTGTTTTCATCTTTTCGGCCATCAAAGCTTACAGGGGTGGGGGCTATTTAATAAGAGATTCTGTTCAAGTGTTTTGCCTTCTTCCATTTGTTCATCAACATTTGCTTTGCTCTTACTACCTCTACATGTTCAGTATTAGTTTCCAGTGAATTTGTAAACCTGACTTGCTACCGTTCTTGCTAAAGAAAATATTTATTGCGGTATGTCAGTAACAAGAACATAAAAAGGGCATAAAAAGATTTTTCAAAAGTTCGAACATGCTTTGAATATTCATCAGCCCATTTCATAGATACAATATTGATTTGTTTTTTATGGCTTATCAACCTTTTCACATCGATACAAATGCACTCGAATTGATATTTTACTAACGTCATTTTACTGAACAAATTGCTACTTTAGCCATGAAACAGCCAGGGATTTAACAACTTCCAAGGCGTGTGATTTCAAATTCCTTGTTTTCCCAAAATGCAAGACAATGTTTGAGAAACGAGAAAAATAAAGTCAAGAAAAACTGACCTGAAAAAATTGAAACTTAACTTTCTTTACGTTTTCTCTACATTTCATGAAACAGATGTTTTATAGAAAACATAAGGTACTGTTGGATTATAAACTTGAGACTGACACACTTCACGCCTAATTTTGGTACATTGATATGGTATAACAAGCAGATACAAGATTCATATACACAGTGTATTTGAATATGTGCGTGTGTGTGTGTGTGAGAGAGAGAGAGAGAGAGAGGTCTGTAGATATACATGTTTATACCAGTTAACACACATACACACACATATATATTTATATAGTGGGTAAATGAATGACGAGACAGAAAAAAGTATTAATGAAGTTGAAGAAACTTCTTCACATATATATATATATAGGGCATTTTATCTTTTTCTCTCTCTCATATATATATATGTGTGTGATATATATATATATATATATATATATATATATATATATATGAGATTAAGATCTATCTCTCACTTTATAGATCGGGAATGAAAGAGAAGTCAATGGGTTTTCTGTAATAAAACCCTTGGAATTGTAGAAATCTAAATTGTGCGCAGCCATTGGCGAATTCTGCTTATCTTTTGATTTTGTAAGAATGTTAGTAGCTTGATGATTTGAGCTACCGATTGCTTTCCTTTTTGCTTTGAATGAACGCAAACATAACTTGTGTGTTCTGGAGGAAGAAATGATGTTTCTTTTCTTTCTTTCTTTCTTTCTATTATTATTATTGTTGTTGTTGTTTATAACAAAGTTGTTGCATTTCTTTCACAGATTTTCTCTTTTTCTCTTCACTGCTTGGAATGTAAGTTAAATGAACAAATGCGAAACGAGGGAATAGAAAGTATAAAAGGATGACAAAAACGATGATTAGCGCTTGATGTTAAAAAGAATGAAAGCTTGAATATATATGTGTGTGTGTGTGTGTCTTGAACAATAAAAAAATACAGAAAAATTAAAAATTAAAATTTTCAGACACATTCGGTTGTATATTAATATTTTTTTTTTGTTTTATTATTTCAATTAGATTCCTCAACTAGTTTTGGCCAGCGTGGCCATCATCAGGAGGAAAAAATTCTGCTTGTTAGTAGCAGTGAGCTACAGGAATGAACGACTTTCTGAAGAAGATGAACTTTATAGTTTTCATTTGCTTTTTATCGTTAATTTTGGTCAGTCCTTGTGTTGGTCAAACGGCCTCTTTTAAGTTGTTTTTTTTTTTTAAGATAGAGGCTGGACAGATTCATGCTACTCCGAATTCCCTTCTTGGTCATTTTGACAGTTTTATTGGCTCCTAGGAAGGGGATGCGTCCGTGTTAAGTGTATGTTATCATTTAGTTCTTCGGGAGTGTGTATGATGTGTGTAAGTGTATATATCACGATGGATGTGTGTATAAATGTGAGACCTTAACACCACCGCAACCATGTCTCCCGTGTGGCTGAGAAATGTGGGTAGGGCTTGATTATGGGGTTATATAATTGAATCTCTCTCTCTCTTTCACACACACACACACACACACATACATATATAATATATATATATATATATATATATATATATATATATATATACAAACATATATATATTGAGAGAGATGAGGAAGAAAAAAGTTAATAATGTCACCGGCGATTTTTTTGACAATCCCAGAAAGTAAATTATGCTAATTAATGTTTGCTTTATTTGTTTGTATTCACGAGTTTGTTTTGTTTCGTTTTTTTTTTTTTTTTGTTTTTTTGTTTTTTGTTTTTTTTTTCACATTTTATGTTGGCATATTTCATGTTTGTGTCGCTTTTTTTCTCTTTCTCGTTTCTTTTGGGAATCACTTTCTTCTATTAAATGGCTTTAGTATGTATGCTCGCTGTGTAGTCTTAAAAAATTGTAATGTCACCTTTTTAAGCAAAGGTGTTTCAGTTCAATAACTATAATTGGATTTTGCTTCGTGAAGAAAGGTGGGTAGTTTTTCTGGGTCGAGGAAGCTGCCAAAAATATTTCTGACACGCGGCTTGTGGGTTACCAGATTTTACGCATAAGCAACTAAACTGGATTTTAATATATAGATGATTATGAAACCTTAGACGTCCTCTGATGATTTCAAACGTCCTCTATATATATATAGGCATATAAATTGCGTGTATCTCACTCTTTTTGAGTAGGTAGGTAGACGTCTACTTATCATCTGTCAGTTGCGTCTCTGTCTTTGGGCAGAGTGTGCTCAGGGGTTTCACTGTCAAAGGACAGAGGGGGCAACTGAGGAAAATCATGAAGAGGTGCACAGCCCTGGGGAACAGCTGCCTGATGCCGCGCCCTCACATTGCACCAGAGGGAGGGCTCGGTGCTCGCACCGAGGCCAGCGCAACCGACGGTTGCGGAGGCTGAGAGGTATTTTTGTTTGTGTCCCGGGTGTACGTGCTCGGGTTCCCACTTAAAAAAGACCTTGTGTCACATCTCGTCCTAGTGGGAAGACAGAGTAAATACTTCCTCTATATTCATATAAATCTGCCTTGAATCAAAAAGAGTCTTGCCTAAGTCATGACAGTGATTAGTTACATCACAAAGATCTTTACAGCAAATGACTGAAAATTCTACTACAATGAAAAGCGGGTATCAAAGCTTAGAAAGATTTCTATTTCGTAAGGAATTCGAAAGAGGATGCAACAAGCAAGCTTATCCTTAAATACAATGTCACGCAGACAAAAGTGAATATTCTTTGAAGAATTTTAATCTTTATGTACCCCATAATTTTTCATTCTCAAATGTTGTGCTTCAATATAACTTTTTTTTAAGATTTGAACCAGAAAAAGATTTCTGGTGTCTTCATATTATATATGAATTTTCAAGTTTCAACCTCGCCTTTTTATTCGCAGTCATTCAATTTCTCAAATGCTCATTCGACCAGAGCGTTGCTTAATCTTGATGCTTCATATATATTTTCTTCGTGTGCACTTTTGGTTTCTATGACACATTTTCTCCACAGATGTGCAGATGGTTAAATTGTTAGTCCTAAATTCATCTCTCTCCCAAATAAAAACTGCATCGATGGCAAACCTCTGACGTTTCAAATCGTTGATTTATCACTGGCTAAAATATTGAAATTGATTGATTTGATGGCTTATCAACCCTTCGTGGATTATTTAATGCCGAAGCATATATTGGATTATATGAGGTTGCTTACAGTACCAGGTGTTCCCAATGAGTCACCCATCTAAGTACTGACCGGATCCGACGATGCTTAACTTCAGTGATCAAACAAGAACCGGTGTTTTCAACGAGAATTGTCCGTAAGCTCCAGACATCGAGAAATCAAGATTGAAAAGGAACACGCACAAATCCCCTTACTGGTTTGAAGGGGGGAACTGATCCAACTCACTTCCGAAATTCTGAACAAATGGCCAAATATCAGGTATTTCTGTGGGCTTCCTGTCCGGTGGAGGGAACTTTTTAGAGCCCCCTCATAACAAATAGCAATTATAATCTAAGGAAGTATATAAAAATCTGATTTCTTTGAAACACCCAAGTGAAAAGTCTATTGTCAGACTGTTATTCAGTTCGATTCTCAATGGGTGCCACAATTTTATGGATTCGTGCCATGTTAAGATTAGTAGTTCCAAAATAAGCAGACTACCGTTTTCTTATGTTCTTTTCAAAGTTTGGAAAAATCTATGAATGTTATCTGTGTATTGTGGTTCCAGAAGATAAGTCTCGTATAAATAATAATGATCGGAAGCAATGACACTATAGAAAATGAACCACAAGTTTTATAGGCGTACTTTCAGGAGAAATATAAAGATATGATTGGTGGGAAGAGTTTTACATTGAGAACTGTGCAAATTAACTAGATTGTAATAATATAAAAGATTGGTAAAAAAATATGCAGTAAGACTGCAAGAGAATTAACTGACCTCAAATCTAGATGAGAAATCTAAACCAATTTGTAATCGGCAAAGAAAACGTGTCTAGTAGTAAATGTCCTGCTTTCAAGACAACAAACTAGAAAGCAATGGGGGAAAAAGTAGCAAAATACTTCAGTATTGTCCCATGGATTCACAAACTGTAGAATATAATGTGAAAATATAGAATCTACTTCATCGTTCAAAACAAGAAGCCTTTCTGAGAATTCCATCAGCTGAAAAAAAAGAGAAAATAATTCCAAAGAATTTTGTAGAGGCGTTTCTTTGTTTCGTGTTTAGCAACACAAAAACTAAATAAAGCAAAAAAAAAGTTCAATGCATTTGGAAAAAAATGTTCTATTTTCAAGTGAAATTTCTGTGTATTTGTTTTTGTTTCTTTCTCGAGAATTTATTCTTTCGTCGCGTTTTTATAACTGACACTCTTCTCTCATCAACTTGTCTCAAGAAAAATATTTCATTTGTTAAGACGGTAATATATCTTCTGTTTTATGGCGACATTATTTGTCAACTGGCAATATCATTTTAAGCGTTGCTTGTTTGTCGATCTTAAGAAATAGTTCTCTTTGAAAGTAATTATTTAGAGCTAAATTGGCTGCTCAAAGGATTATCAAAATGCAGATCAATAACAATTCACAGGTAATGGGAAAACTTTACATAAGAAAAAACAGAAGCAAATTTATCGTTTTGTATACTGTGTCCTGTGGACGGTCCTTTGACAAGGCACACATGATGTCCTTTATGCAAATTATAGTACCAAAATTATTTGCTATCTTCGTAGACTTAAACTCCAGGAGTCAACAACTGAAGAACTCTCTTTTATTTGTATACACCTCGTTTTGGAGAAATAAAAAAGCACTCTGCATCTGATCAAATATTTATTTATTTTTAAATAACATCTATGCCCATTTATTATTTAATACTATTAAAACCTATTCTTTTTAAATTTGCCTCTGTCTTAATTCGAAAAACCTACAAAGAGCCAAGTTTTACTGTGTGTGATTTTTACTCCGATGCTTTAAGATCGACAGTGTGAAATGACATTAATTTACGTATAGTCTCTAAACTATTTCTTGTTTGACACAAGGGAGCGCTCAGCAATAGCTTAGGGGACGATTTCATTTAGTGCTGATCACATTTTTAATGTCTATCTATTCATGTTACTATTGAAAATGATGTAAATACATTTTCCAGATACGCTACTCACAATAAGACACTTTGGGATTTTACTCTGTTTGATATGGATGTTTCTGTTGCATCAACAAAACGATTCGGTATTAGATCATAATATTTATTGCCTTGTTTATTGGTTTTTGAATGGCTTCAAACTTTCTAAACGTAACAACGTCAAAAACATGTACTTCCACAAATGACAACGATCATTGGCGCATAGTCTTCAAAAGTCTCAGGATATTGTTTTGTGATGTTTCCTCCCCTCTCCTCAACTACACCAATACCCAATTCTTGAAGGTCACTCGACAGGGGATTGCGAGCATAGACACGTCATTTGAATTGGTCTCGCAAGTATTTTGTTAGATTAAGATTCGACGATATGGCTGGCTCTTCCATGTGTGGGATATCAACCTATTGGAGGTATATGTTAATGCTATAACGACGCAGAAGAGTTGCTTTATTATCCGTGAAGATGGAGTTCGGGCTCTCATAGTGCCACTGAATAGTAATAATGCTTCAACAATATTTCGTAGATTTCATTGGTGTCTGGTGGTTCCATCAGGAATGGCAAGATTCGTTTTCCTGTTTGTTGCGTCACCCCAAAATGTTACGCCGCTACTTTCGGCTCGATGGGAAAATGGCCCCTCGCGGACTGTTCCTGTTACCTGATGTCTGAAATTAAGTCAAGTGATCAGACTTTGTGCGCAAGCAACAGAAACCTGTCTAGCTCCTCTCCGAATGCGAATAAGCGCCTGGTAACTTTGTTGTTCAATTGTTTTACGACAGCACATCGTAACGATTAAAATCAGCACCCACAGCCTTATAATGATACTCTCGTCTTTTTTAGCCTTTAATAAATTAACTGTACACAATGTTAACTACATGCTTGTTTTTTTTTTTTTTTTTGGATGCTACTTGGCTCTTACTGCACAAAATGTGAGGAAAGAAAACAATACTCTATTTTCCCCATGTGCAGACACATGTGACGACCTAAAAATGAGTCCATTCATGACAAACATTGTGAGTAAAAATACATTTCAAGCCCAACACCTTTAACATAAGCAAGTATGTCAGATTTTGTTATGCAAAGGTAATGTCATGGAATTAACCAACCGATTCGTTACTTAATAAAATATTACACTAAAAATTATTGCAAATATTCCTAATAAAGATATTAATAAAATGAAATTCACATGTTATATTTATCATATAAATATATCTTGAAATTTTTAGTAACATGGTTGTAAAAACCTTAACTTCCATAATAAATTCTTATATGTGTGTGTGTGTGTGTGTGTGCGTGCGCGCTCGTGCGTGTGTGTTGATTAAGAAGTATGTAATAAAAATACATCAAGTAAGATGCATATATGAATAATGAAGATCGGAAATTTAATCGAAGACAATTAAATTCCATTGTTTAAAACCAAATAAATAAGTTGGTATAAACAAGTTATTTATTGCCACTTTTGATATATTTTAGTTTTTCTTTTCAACTTTAAAATGTGTTATTTACTAAGTTTTGTGTATTGTTGAATATTCAGCTGACGTGACAGTTTCTAGCGTTTTTAACAATGTATATTTATTCATATAAATTCATAGCATCTTTATTTACATTATTTACACACTGGCTATTGCCCTCGTCTTTTCGATGAGAACACAACGTCAGAAACATTGCAATGTAAATAATGATATCCCAGATATTGAAACTGAAAATCATAGCACCATTATTCAGACAGCAAAGCATTTTATGTTGTTGTCACTGGCCTTTTCACACTAATGTTTATCCATTGTAAGATCCAAGGGCAACTCAAGGTAGAGAGTTATTGTTTGATGTCGTATGAGCGTCAGAAAAGACAAGTGCAGTTTATGAAGATGGACAGGAATGATAACGGTTAACCTTAGACTTGAAGAGGTCAGTATTATAGTGATCGGGGAAAACATCCTGTAAGAAGTCTGTTCCACAAAGCAGCAATTCTTGTAAAGAAGCTGTCCGAGTGGAATGAAATGCATGAAGACGATTCATTTTTGTGTATGGCGGGTCTCGGTTGCAATGGTCAAGGTTGGTGGAACCAAGGAATGTAGCTCATTAGAACACATACCTTGGAAATAGCAATAGAGTAGCGAGATGCTTGCGACTTTTTGTCTGTGGGAAATTGGTTGTAGGGCGGAAAATTCATCGTCCACAAAGTGACAGATGGCAGATGTGGAGAATTACTGAAAGCGTTAGAACTTCCCATCCCAACTGATCATTTTCTGCGCCACATTGGAAATTCGAGAATGGATGTTATCATGCAGTCATATCGATTTCCTTGTCAAGAATAAAAATTATTTTCTATAATGAATCTGTACTGATAAATCATCAGTTACCTCCCCTTAAGATCTAGGAGGTATTAAAAGCACCCTATTATACACGTCAGTAGACGAGTAGTCAGAATAAAGTGCAATAAAGCTTTGGTATAAGTTTATTCACTGGTTCTGTTTTACTACAGAATCATCAAAACTAGTAAATTGCTCACTGTAGTATTGAGCCGAAAAAGATTATTTGGGTTCTAGAAATTCGTAATAAATAATTCCCTTTGAATTCAAGGAAAAGGGAGAAATTTTTTTCAGAAAATCGACTTCTTTTGAAGCTGTTGAAGGTTGTTCTGAATTGAGACACGAGTTTCTTTATTTTAAATTTACATTGTGAATTTATTTATCATCGACATTTACTTTCCTGTTAAATAATGACTTTTCTTTTGTATCGAACAAGAAGAAAGAAACAATAAAGAGAGATAAAATTTAAAGTCATTTCTAAGAAGAACTCAATGTAAAGGCCTCAGTTATTGGCATGTCATTTTCTTTCACAATGTTTCTTATTTGATAGCCATTTATTTTTTTGATGATAATTTTCAATATTCACCGATCTGGAGAGAAACTCCTAAAACGACAATTTCCATTGTTCGCTAATTAGTTGTTCCTCCTCTTTAAAACCAAATTAATGTTTCTTTTCACTCCTAGAAAAAAAGAATATTTGTGATTCTTCCATCACCAACATATTTTCAAGAGCAACAGAACATAGGATTTCTGATGAACGAACAATTTGAAGATTGTCATACAAGTGTAAAAGAGTTTTAAAATCGTAAATAATGTAAACCTTGCCGACTTAAATCGATCTTCATAACACGAAATAATGAATCATCATGAACCCATCGCTTCACGT